ACGGAGTATGGCCTGGTCGAATCCTGTGTGCCAAGTAGCGGAACGGGATTCATTGTGTTGCCGGCGCGCATATCGCCAAAAGGCCCAGAGACGGCCAAGGTGAAGCCCCGACAGAGCGGCGTCACGTCATTGGACGGGAGAAGGGAAGCTGAATGGTGCCAAGGGGACGGGCGCGTTGAGACTCGAGAAGTTGACAGTGAGACTCTCAGTCTCAAGGAACCAAGGCCGCGCCAATCTGACCATGTAAGCCATGGTGCGCGGGTAGGAAATGGGGTCGTGCCGTGTGTGCCTGCGTAGGTATCTGTACTGCGAATCCGTACTCAGTTTTGTCCCAAGTTGTTTGATCCGATGCCAATTAAGGTAAGGTAGGCCATGTGTGTCCGTGTCCGTCGGGCGCAGCAGTGAATGACCTTGGCTGCTTGAATTGGTTGAAGCTTCGAAGGCAAATATGCAGATTTCGGGGGAATCGACATCGGATGAAGGATGAACTGCCTGAAAGTGAGAATGTCTGATGGGCACCTCATGCCGCATCTCTGGATGCTAGTAATCGGAATCGTCAATGGGCACGCGACACTTGGGTGACTTCCATGGCCCGGGACTTGCCTCATTCGCTGCACACCATGGAAATCGCCCCGTCATCGATATCTCGGTCCCGCGAACGTGAAATTGGTGATTTAGGGTATCATGGAAGGAACCGCCCAGAATCTGGATGTGTACCCCGGGCAGGAACTACGTTACTGTGTAGGGATTGGGAAAGACCTAGCAGACAGGGCCACCTTCCACCTGGATGGGTCCATGGCCCGGGGAGGGGGGGCATTTGGGGAGGTTCCGTTGTGACGCTGGCAGGTCCGATAAGGAAGGATCACAGTTCCCATCGTCAGGTGCTCTCTTGCCGTTTCGGCCAAACGGCCATGGCCCGGGTCCCCTCCACCTCGGCATTCGCTTAAACGAATTCGCCTAGATGCTTTCCCTTTTCTTACATTTTCGTTCCAGGTCCTCCTGAGCCCCTCGTGAGATGACTTGAGATGAATGCCATTGACTTTGCGGCTGACTGACTGCCACTTCGGACTATGCTGCCGATATCAGATTGTCAAGACAACCTATGCCAGAGTGGTTGTTAGTTACTACGACTTACCCGGCCCGCCGGCACACTCGGCACTAAGCCTAGCACCGAGCAAACGGCGGTGCATACACAATGTGACTGTCCAGGAAAATATCGAAAGACCACTGCGTAAGTACCTCCAGAGAAGACTCAAGAGACCAAGGCAGATATCGGCTAGTCGACTATATCTCCTTAGCTCCGCACAAGTGGCGCCGGCGCTGACCTTGACGCTGGAGCCACCCCCAAATTGTGCCAAGCCCGTTAGCGGCTTATGCGGCGACTGGCAAGTATGGGAAGTCTGGGACCACCTGCCTGCACTTGGAAGTTGCAAGTTGCCGCAAAGACTGCAAGAACCTTCCCGTCACCAAGGAAGGAGAAGGAGCACGAGAGCAGAAAGCGAACCACAACAGGAGCACACGACACTGACCCTTCCAATGGATTCCAATGGAAGGAAGTACCCCGTACCTCACCCCGTACACAAAAACCCAATGGCAGGACCCCCGTCTTCACCCCTGCCGCCCAGAGCTTGGAGAGAGAGTCAGAGGGCAAGTGTCAAGTGCAAGTGCAACTGCGCAACCGCAACGCAACTGCCAACTGCAGATTTTGATATTCCGCCCACGCTCCAACGTCTCCTTTCTCTCCCGGTCTCACCCCTGGTCCCCTGCTACCTTAACCCCCCGTCCTTCCCGGACCACACCCACCGGGTCCCATTTTGCTCAAGCTTCTTTTTTGAGATTGTTCCCTACGGCGGAATGCTTTTCTCTCCTCGAACCCTCGCCAGTCTGTGTTGATTTTTGTTTTTTTAATTAACCTTTAATGGATCCCAATGGGACCTTGTCTATAGAGTTACACTCACAGCATGAGCAGGCGCAGCACTGTCTACGTAGTAGTACCACCGTAGGACGCGGCTCGTCACCCGCTCCCGGCCACCGGCGACAGCCCGGGCCCTGGCCGCCCTGCCTCCATCAACTCCTTTCGACGCGGGATTACGTATGCCGCTCAAACATGGCGCATACGCGCAAACCCGCCAGTCTCAGTCTCTTTCCGACTCTCTCGCAAAGGAATGTGGGTATCTGCTTTATACCACCGTCGTACGTACGCCCTCTACGTAGTACCTTGTAGCTATCCATAGCCCAGACTCCGTGCCTTACTGCTACTACCGTCACTTGCGACCCAAGCGGCTTAGACAGCGCAACGGTTAGGCTGGAGGCGAGACATAGGAAGTGGTCCCCGGGGAGAAGGGAGGAGGAGTCCTTGATGTGTCCCCTTTCGGTGTTTTGTTCTTGTCTTCTTGGCTCTGTGGGATACCTTATTCAACAAAACGGAACAGTCAAATGTGAAAAAGGAGGCCCCTCGGAAAGACTGGAGCCTGTAGCAGCATTATCATCTTGGCAAAGAAACCGAATAGCTGCGAGACAAAAAAAAAACCCTCCAAAAAATCCATTTCCATAGGTGCTCCATGGTCTGCGTGGGGATTCTTTGCCATGGCGGGACTCGGGATACTGCACTAATACCATGACCGGGATCACCACACACCCTCCACAAGCCCAGTCCCACACCCTCACACCTCCATCTCTCACCCGTCTCCCGTCACCACACGCCTCTCTCTCTCTCCTCTGGCCCAGTCTCCCACTCACACTCCCATGTATGAATACACGAATCCCACTCCATCCACATCCCACACATCCATTCTATGTACTTACATATCACCTCCTCCTGCCCTGCTGCGCATCCCTAATGTCCGCTCCGGTCTTCTTCTCTTACCTCTTACTTCTTGGCATCTGCGTGTTTGGACATCCTTCGGTAACATAGACATAGACCTGACCTCGACATCACGGTCTGAACACCTGCAGCAACAAATTTCACCATCTCTTCCTCTGCTTCAGAGTTGATCAGTTCCCCTCGCCCTCGGTCCCGTCCTCTGGAACTCGTTTTATATACCGCCATCGCCTGACCAACTTTAACGATACCCACAACCCCGTCAACTCTCTGTTTTTGGCCGACTCCAGAAATCTAAGGGATTATTCCACGCTTTCTTTCATTTATTCCAGTCGCTGCTACTCCTCGTCGAACTTGATTTGAGGCAGTCAACAAACGAACTACATTCACCGGCCCCTCTAGCTCCTGTCATATCCACCTTCACCTCCTTCCTGCCTCGCATCGGCCACCTCCCGAAGACAACTTCTTGGCATTACGAGGCCTCCAGAAAACTCGACAAACAACTTCATCCCGCCATTTTTGGAATTTGGGATTGTTTTTGCTGTCATTGTTAGCAACTAATCATCCATTCCTTGAAACTCGATATCAAGAATTCCGCTCAAGTGATACAACAACGCATCTGGCCAAGATGCGCTTCAACCTTACTTTCCCCCTCGCGGTACTGGGCCTCACATCAACTGTTCTTGCGGCACCTCAAGCAGCTAGAGATGTCAGCCAATCCTCGCCGCCAGCCATCGAAAAGCGCGAGGACACCAAGTACTTCCACGAGCCCTGCTGCGGCGAAGAGCTTGGCCACTACGATATCCGTTATTTCAAGCAAGCAGTGGGCTACGACGACCACCGGGTTGTTCTCCGCAACCTCGTCCGCTCGTACCTGACCATAACCAAGAAGCTCAAGGTTGAGACATGGCTTGCCCACGGCACGCTGCTGGGTTGGTGGTGGAACGGCAAGATCATGCCCTGGGACTACGACCTCGATGTTCAGGTCTCGACGGCGACTCTGTACTGGATGGGGCAGAACCTGAACCGCACCGAGCACGACTTCGACTGGACCGACAAGGATGGCAACGCCAGAAAGGAACGCTACCTGCTCGACGTCAACCCCCACGGCACTGACAAGGACCGCGGCGACGGCCAAAACATCATTGACGCACGCTGGATCAACATGGCCAACGGTGCCTTTATCGATATTACTGGCCTTGCCGAGCGCGATCCCTCCGGAATGCCTGGTGTCTGGAGTTGTAAGAACTACCACCGCTACCGCACCACCGACCTTTTCCCCATGCGCGAGACCGAGTTCGAGGGTGTTCCCGCCACCATCCCCTACAGCTTTGAGCGCATTCTTTCTGAGGAGTATGGCACCAAGAGCTTGGTGACTACCGAATGGCAAGGGTAAGTTTAGAGATCTGCGTTGGGATCCATGCTTTCACCCCCAAATAAGCTTTGATGCTGGCGGCGGAATTCCGACTCTTATTTTCACGACTAACACGATACGCAGACACAAGTGGGAGCCGGAGCAAAAGGAGTGGCTCAAGACGCAACAATAGCTGAACGGAGTTTTCTTCCACTGAACACCAAATCGGCATAATTCAAATTTGGATCAGTCCGAGCGATGGCTGTTCTAAGCCGGAACACGACTTTTTTCTTTTTGTTCCGTTTGGAAGCAGAAAATCATGGGCACTTGGGCGATAGCAATTGGCGTCGCCGTACGCCTACATGCATTGGCGGCGTTTCCGGACATGGCATAGGCATGGCATTAAGGCGTTTTAGAAAAGGGATATCATACCGGGAGGACACTCGGACGAGGTCACTCTCTCTTTTTTTTCTTTCATAGCATTCACGAAGAAGGCGGCATTTTGTACGAGTAACAAACAGCATTCTCACCCGCTGGGTAGCCCGATGTCACTACCTTAGATGCACCGTCGCATTAAGGGTACAGATAGTCATGCGGAATGGTATGACACGAATCACAATGCACGCACCTTGTGGGCACCTAACTGTGTTGAGAGCGGACATTCATCGTGATTGAGTTGACTAACTACTCCGTGATCCGCGAGGTCAATTCATGTCCCATCTCCAAGCCACCGCAACGCCTGCGCAATGCTAAATCCAGAAAGCAAAGAAACACAAACACCATACGTACGCTCCAATGCTGCTCCAAATACCATGCAGACCCTTTTTATGACGATGAGCCAGAGTCGGGCTTGCCGCCGTCCCTCCTCTCCATGTTCATCTTTTTGGCTCTTTCCTCTGCAGCCTTGGCCAATATCTCTCGTCGACTCAAACCAGCGTTGCCACCACCGCTTCCTCCCACGACGAAATCGCCGCCTTCCCAACCGCCGTGGTCCTCAACGTCCTCCTCCTCGTCTTGTCCCGGCGCATAGTAAGAAGACCCCTCTCCGACCGTGTGTCCGCCATGCTTCCAGTCCGCCGCATCAACTTCGCGCTCGATCTGATGGCACAGGTCCCAAAAGTTGCGATCGTGGTCGCTATGTACGTTGTGCGCCAGCTCATGGCACAGCGTTTTGCGAATGGTCTTGTAATTTCTGTAGCCGTCGTGCGCATCCGTCCTCAACCTTAATTCGATGGCTTCTCCGTTATTGCGATTCAGGCCGAGGAGTCGAGTCGTCCCCTCATGGTTGGACTGCGTATTGGATAGGGGCTCCATCTCCGTTAAGAGGCCGACGCTGAACTTGTGCTTGCGCATGGAGGCGCGGATGCCCGGGTCCTCCTTCAGCTTCTCGAGAAGCGCCAGAGATCTCTCTGGTCGCGGGAGGCCTACCAACGGCCGGACGGAGAGGAAAGTGTAGGTGCTGTCCGCCTGCGCGCGCCCCTGGTCTCGCCTCCTCGAGGGCCGGTTCTGTCTGCGGGCGGCGCTGCGGGCAGCGTTTCGTTTCGCGGCGAACTCGGACGCGGCCTGGAGGGAGGCGACCTCTTTTGCCTCGACGCCCATGAGCATGATCTTTTTGTTCTGGAGGCCGACGAGGGACATGTCGGGATCTTTGAAGGGGGGTTTCAGGAGGCCGAGTTTCGGGACGATGAACTTTTGATTCGAGGCGGGAATCGAGAGGGTGTCTTCGACATCTTCGGACAGGTGGGTGATTGTTCCATCCGAGGGGAATTTGATCGTGTGTGGTGTGTTGCGATGGGTGAGTGTGATGGTGATGGCTTCGTCGGCGGAGTCGTCGTAGTCGGACTCGCAAGAGTGTGGTTCGGCCATGGCTGGTGCGGGTTCGAATTGGCGATCGTCGGGTTTGTTGTGTCTATAAGGCTTGATATTTTGCTAGTAAGGAAGTACTGGGTAAGGTTAGACTTGTGCAGGGTTGCAAGGAGTGTGCCAAGTTGTGCGTCTATATACAGAGGTGGGTAGCACTCATGGAAATGTTGGGAAACACAACGAGTGCGGGTTGAGGCGCAGATGGCCACCCCGTGATGGGACTCTCGGAGGTTTGTCAGGCAGGCAGCTTTGTAATACGTCACATCTTGGCGCACCTGGGAACTCCCCGACCTCCGTCGCGTTCGGGGCAGCGGCCTGGACTTAAAAGTGGAGTCCGCGATTCCCGTAGCGCAGATTCGGGGGTTCCGCTTTGAGTACCTTACCTAAGCGAAGAAAGTGGGTACCTAAGTACCTCGAGCTGTATGGATGATTACCTCAGCATCTCAATCCGACTCTGAGGTACTGCACCATGCTGAAGGACCCCACAGCGGGTAGGTGCCTTAGTCTCCAGGAACGAAAGAGCGCAAAGTGTCTCATCTCCATTGCGTGCCTTACCTAAGCCCTGCCCCGCGAATGCTATGTACTCCGTATGTCTTAGATTAGGTAAGGCGGACAACTGCTACGGCCGCCGCTGGCCATTCACTGTATCCGGACGGAGTAGGTACCTACGGTATTAGTGTTTGGTTATGTGGCTCGAGTGTTCGGTTCCAGCTTCCAATGAGCTTTCAATCGCGTTCGTGTCCTTTCGACCTCCTGGAAACCCAAAAAAGCTGCCAGCTGTGCCAAACGCAGTCTTGAAGCTCCCTCCCCAGCAACCCAAGAATTCCAACGTCACGACGCCAAAACATCGCGAACCCAAACGAAACGACACGTCACGAAGAACACTCGACGACGACGAAGAAAACCCGTCGGCGTGCAAGACGACTTGCACCCGCTTGATTACAACCATCCGATAAGCCGCGCGCGCGCTGTCACTGGCAGCTCCAAGCTCCCTCTGAGTTGAAAGCTCCCTCCCACCCCAAACTGTGAATCGCGATCCATCGCCTCGCCGCAACCAATTTGTCACGATGCTCAATCTCTTCCGCATTGCCGGTACGTTTCGTCAAACTTCTCGATCCCACCACTGTTTGCTCCGGGGACTAACATAATGGGTTTGCAGGGGACTTGTCCCACCTTGCCAGTATCGGCATTCTCCTCCACAAGATGGTGCAGCTGAACGTGAGCGATTCCCACCATGTCGTCACTCCCGAGACCCTTATCTAACTCTTTCTCAGAGCTGTTCTGGTATTTCTTTCAAGTCGCAAGCCCTTTACTTTCTGGTCTACATCACTAGGTACCTTGGTAAGCTCCATTGTGTTTTCTCGTCCCTCTATGATTGACCTGAGCTGAGCTAACCGGCGCTTGTTTGTCCCCCAGACTTGTTCACGACCTCTAGTCTATGGAACCTCATTTTCAAAATCCTCTTCATCTCTTCCCAAGGGTACATCGTGTACCTGATGACGACCGCATACAAGCCAACCAACGACCCCAACCAGGATACCTTCCGCGTCCAGTATCTGCTCGGCGGAGCTGCCGCCCTGGCCATCATCTTCCCCTACTCTTACACCTTCTGGGAGATCTCGTGGACCTTCTCCATCTGGCTTGAGGCTGTTGCAATCTTGCCTCAGCTCTTCATGCTTCAGCGCACTGGCGAGGCCGAGACCATCACCACCCACTACCTCTTCGCCCTCGGCATTTACCGTGCCCTGTACATCCCTAACTGGATCTACCGCTACTTCACAGAGGTGAACCACAAGGCTGACTGGATCGCCATTACCGCCGGTATTATTCAAACTGTCCTTTACAGTGACTTCTTCTGGATCTACTACACCAAGGTGATGAAGGGCAAGAAGTTCAAGCTGCCCGTTTAAAGGCGTCTCCTCCCACCCACGAGGTCCCGTACGGCTTCCAACCTGGAAACATCCGCCAGGTTGCGGGCGCCGCGGAATACAGAAACATGGGTTGTAACAACAAAAGCTATAAACAAACGCTGGAGCCAAATGGTGGACCATGACCTTGTTCTCATTTACGCTCGGTCTCACAACAAGTATTGGGATTTCCTCAGGTACACCACGCAAAATCAGAAAAGAAGAATAAGGTGGCCTCAGGCTAAAGGATAGGGAATATCCTCCGCGACGGATGGATGCATGGCTGGCGTTGGGAGATATGGTTAGTTTTTTGCATGGACGGCCAGACAGCCAGGAATTCAATCCACGCACAGCTGGATGATTTTGGTTGAGCTGCTCACAAAGTGCCCACAGATCGACATGATCGAGAACGAACAGAAAGAAGACCGGGACACCCACTGGTATATAGATGGTCAATGTGAAGAACGTTTTCAGATTTCCACGACCTTCACGCTCGCGCTCGCGCAACATGTTTCTCCCCATCCATCCACACCCACCTTACTCAACGCTCTCACAAACACAAACACGCAAATTGCGCACACACCTGTCAGCGGCTATGGCACGCGTTGGTTGACTCGTTCTTTTCGGTTAGTTCGCCGGCTCCCGAAATCTTGATGCGGTTCTTGGGACTTCGAGTGAAGGTCTGTCCCTGCTGGCTTATAAGTTTTCGTTGCCTTTGCCTAACTTGGAGGGGAAGCAGACCCTGAACAAGGGCAATCCAGTGTGGTGGCAGTCGGCGGGCGATTCAAAGTAATGGATGTCGCCATCGGTTCCTTTTGGTTCCCCCGGCCACCCCGACCTTTCGACCTTGACTTCTTCCCGGGTCCGAGTCAAGTGACCCTGGACAGGGATATGCGACACCAAGGAGCCTGAGGATCGACGCTGTTGGAAGACGATCCCGCAATTGTAATTCCCCTCCGCCTGGGAGCCTCAACGGACCAGGGATCCAGTCCAACTTTGGCTTTTGAGACAGCACCAAGCTCGGAACGCAGCCGAAGGTTGATGCCGCTGGCGCAACAAACGCCTCTTAACTGCAGGCATAAACTTTTCTGTCGTTTCTGTCAGTGTGCTGTTTCCAAATTCACTTGTGAAACCATGCATGCATTACAGCCAACTGGGCTCTGAGCGTCTGACCGAATAAGAAGATGGGACGGTGGCGCGCTAATCTGATCTCCCCCAGTCGGCGGCTGCTCCTATCGTGACGAAAGAAGCCGCCGAGTGGCCCCGTCTCTCAACCCTCCTCTCCAGGCCATACTCCAAATAAGCCGACTGGATTATCTGGGATGTGATATCGGTGAAGAGACGGGACCAACGAGTCTCGACCCGCGCCGGCGTTGCCCAGGTAGGCTGAAAGCCGTGGGGCTCTTGTTGTTCGACGGTTAGGACGAAGCGGGCTCATGGGCCATAACATGGGCGAGGGCCGCTGACCGGGCCGCCTGAAGCCTGTCCTTTCCTGGCTTGGTCTTTTTCTTGTGTTATTCTTTCTCAGTTCGTTTCGAAGTACTCTTGCTGATAATTCGTCTTCTTGTTAATGGTGATTTGAGATTTGTTTCTTTCGTTCGGACTACCTGCTACGGGAAATATGAATATGGTGAAGAGGAGGAACACATAGTTCGACGACAATGAAATCATGGTGAAGGCTTGCCTCCCACGAATAGTACTACTCTGTGTTCTGGCCTCCCTTGTGTTGGCGGCGGTCGCGGCGGCGGATGAAGGAAGTGGGCGAAGAGCAAGATGGGTGCACGGAGGAAATCACAGGTCACCGGCGGAACCTCAACGGAGGAGGAGAGGAGCAGGCCATGATCTGGTCGATCACTTATTGGGCAAGAGGGTGTTGCCGCCGACGGTATCAACAGACGACAACAAGCCGGCCCGTCTCGAAGACCGCGTCGTATTATCGGTGCCAACACCAGCGGCTCTCTTCGGGCGACAAGTAATCGGCAACCCCATTGACGCCATCAACTCGGCGTCTCGATCAGCACAGCAGGCCATTGCCTCGGCATCTCAGTCCGCCAGGGAAGCTATTCAACAAGCAAACGATCAAGTGAGGCAGGCCGGAGACCGGCAGAGACAGGCGGAGGAACAGGCGAGGCAAGCCAACGATGCGGCCACTCGGGCCTCGATATCGGCCAACAACGCCGTCGTCCAGGCACAAGCGAGCGCTAAGGAGGGCATCCTCAACGCCCAGAATGCGGCCAAGGAGAGTGCGAGCAAGCAGGTCGCAGACAACTTTGCCATGGTCACGGCGAGTGCACAAACGCAGCTGGCTTCTCAACTTGCGAGCATCCAAGCCAGTGCCAGCGCCAGTGCTGCACAAGCCATTGCTGTTGCGACGCAGTCCGCCAGTGCGGCTATATCGAATGCTCAGCAGCAGGCACAGCAGCAGATTCAAGCTGCGAGGGTACGTGATTCTTTCGTAGGCACGCGGCCGTGTGACATTCAGATCTCTAACATTATATACAGGACGATGCAAATCTTCGTGTATCACAAGCACAAGGTGCCGCGGTTTCGGTCACACAGGCGGCTCTCGCCGTCGTAGGAGCCATCATCGGCTCATCTCTTCTCACTATACTAGGCTTCTACATCTTTACTCGTTACCGGCGTAACAAGCGCAAGGATCAGACGGCACGGGAGCTCCGTCGTGAGATCAGTTACCCAAAGCAGAACACTCTCATGACGACCAACGCACTGGCTATGAACAACGGCTATCCGCAAGATGTGAAGCGTCCAATATCACCGACTCGTCCAGAAACAGCACGTACGACGGGGTCATCTGGAGGCATGGGGTACGCGGTCAGTGATTTCGGCGATGGACAGCCCAACTTTTCTCGACAGACAACCTTTGTGAGCAGTACCGCGCCGCAGATGGGCATGGGCACTGTACAGAGGGAGCAGTCGGTGTCGAGAAGGCCGGTGCCGCCTTCCCCCAAGAAGCCGCCCTATTCTCTATTCCCGCCAAGGTCTAGGGATGGCCCGCCGGCGACGTCGTTGCCTGCCACCCCGGCCCCTGCGCGAGATCGTGAGAAGGATGCTCCCCCTCCTCTCATGATAAATCCAGGTACAGGCCCACCGCCTGCATCGGTACAAGCACAGGCACAGGCTCCGGCAAACAATGAAAAGCTGGACAGGGTGGACGAGGAAAGCGATGAGTTTGGGGAGGGTACGAAGAACTGGCTGAGACGTACGCAGACCGTGAGTCCGTTTGGAGACCTGGCAGACAGTCCGACAGGGGAGAAGGATCCAAACTGGCCATTTGCGAGGTCAAATTCGCCGCCTCCGCCCGTGAGGTGAGAGTGGTTGGCCTATAGGCACGCGCGAGGGAGAGTCACAGACGGTGGTTTTCAAACTATCAAATGACAGGCATCAGAAAAGGAACGGAAACTTTTTAATGCGCTCAGAAATCTCTGAGTAACGTTCGTTACTACACTGTTCTATTATCTATTCTTCAGGGTCATGATACCCAAACATTCATATTTTTACTTGAAGTATAATACACAAATGTGTTATTACAGTCTGACATTCATGCAAGAGAAGAGACGGAGGTTGTCAGTAATCGCCCGCCTTCTTCCGCCTTAAGACAAGTGAGAGCGAGGGTGGTGTGGCGTCTGTGTGTCTTGCTGGTGTTTGGATCGAAGCTTGGCAACAGAGAGTTTGGTCTCAAGTTCGAGGCCGCCTCCACAATAGACCATCGTTGCCGACACCTTTTCTGCATCAACTACTGTTACCGCAGGTGTTGACGAGGGTGTGTTGCCATGTAGTCGGGCTCGTATCTCCGCCGGTCGCTGAGTTGACTTTATTCGATGCCCAGAGCCGGCAGCACGTGGGAGAGGAGGATAATGAAGAGGATGAGGAGGCTGCGGCATCCGCGCCTGCGGGCGAACCGGTTTCTATGCAACTCTGTTAGAGAACTGGTTCCCCCTCTCCGCTGTGTTTGATCGACGGTTGACAGGTGAACGTGACTCTGTATTTCTCCCTCTCTCTCACATTCTCTCACCCGTGCCACCTGCACTCTCTCAAAATTTCCCCAGGTATTGTGTGTGCGTGTGTTTGTGTGTTGACGCCATCCTTTGGGTTTCGCTCAAACGCCTGATCGCTTACCTCGATGCCCAGAGGTGGTATCTGACGAACGACCGGAGGAACTGAGGCAAAGCTTTTGATCAAAGTCTATCGCGATGCCCAGGATGGACGATAGGGAAGCGTCGATCTGCACGGCCTCTAATTCGGGTCGTAGATGATCAACGTCCCTTTCGTTGTGCATATTGTCCTCACCATCGCCGTCATCTTCACAGCAATCCTCGTCTTGTGCTTGCTGCTGGCTCTCCGCTGCTTTGATTCGGAGGACGGCGATCTGCTGCTGGAGTTGCCGCGCGAGGTGTCGATCCATCTCGCTGGGTGACGAAGATGTCACAGAGATGGCGCCCCGGCGACGGGGCCGTCTTGATGTGGATTCCGGGGGTAAAGAAAAGGAACGGGGCGCATCATGACGGGTGAGGAATAGGCCGTCTGGGACGGAGTGACTCCATAGACCCGATGAGGAGGTTTTCCGTGATGGCGACCGGGGTGGTGTCCATAGCCATTGGAAGTAGGAAATATCCTCCGCGCGACTTCTTTTGAAAGGTGTTTCTTGATGTTCCTCTTCATCCTCCTCTGCCTGGCGCTTCCTTCGCTGGCTTGTTTGGGCCATGTTGGTGGTTCATGCAAGGACCGGGGTCCTCGCTCTCGATGTTCTCTGTTGACTAGAGGGCAACGACTCCGAGACTCAGGTACCTCTAAGGTTGAAGAGCCAATCTCTTAACGTGTGATTTCAATGGAAACTAGATAACGATCTGGTGTAACGATGCTAGAGCTTCAAATGAATAATACCCAATTGTGGAGTTGAAGAGGTAAGATGAGTTGAAATGAGGTGATGAGACCGTGAGTGAAGCTGTGTCTCGCTGCCGGTTCGTGCGCTGGCGGGGTAAAATCGACGGTCCGCCGCCTGGCGCGACCTTCACGTTCCGGATCGAGCTAAATGGTTTCTCCCAGGGAAACAAAGATATCCATTCCATACGTCCGTCTAGCCTTCTCAAGGGCCATCGTGACCGCTTTGCATGATTTCTCGGATCTTTGGGACGTAGCATGAAGTTTGGGTCCGGAAAAAAGATGAGACCTGTCATCTCGGTCTCTTCGGAAGCGTTCTGGTATAGTTCCCTCTTTTTCCATATCATTACGCATCCACACCGTTATGAGGAGGGATCGGTGTCGTCGGTGCCTCGTCCCATCTTTTCTGTTGCGGATGAGAGTTTCAGTCGGTTCGCCAAGATTTCGCAGTGCAGATGAGACTGTGACTGCCGGCGGGCTTTTGTCCCGTCTTCACCCTAGCCAGAGCTTCTTACACCATATGCAGCGTGAACTTGAAGACGGGATGACCCGGTGAGGTGGACCACAATCAGGCGGGCGATTTTGTGAGCTCGGGTCAAAAACCGACATGGTAGCTAGCCCTACGTAAATCCACTCGGTATACAACATGCGGGATACAACATCGCCCCCTTGTCGCTGAGAGCCTGAAGTTATCGGATCTATGATGATCTGTGCTTCTGAGGCTCTTCTACCAAATGCGCTCTAGCTAAGGTACTCATAGGTTGACTCTTTCTTAGTCTTGCTTACCAAGACTGCATCCGTTCCAATATGGCGCTCATTGCTCATACACAGGCACAGAATCATTTGAGTAATGCATTTGTTGCTGGACCACACCCTATACCGTCTCATATGGGTATGATCACCGGATAGCAGACCCGATCTGTCGAAACGCTAGGGCCCTTGATGCAATGTTTGTGATGCTATTGCTCGCGCAAAACTCTTTACATATAATACTAAGCTGGCTATACATTATGCCCTGTTTCTCCGTCAACACCATCAACCCCGTCAACCACGTCAACCGATTATGACCAAGTTTCCCACCTAATAGTCAATGAGGGGACCTCTGCCATCTCGTCTCTTCTGCCACTCAAAAAGCCAGACCGTCATCCGGATGTGCAAGCCCCAGCAAATACACTGAGCATGAGATCTTAGCAAACACCTGCCTCTCCAGACCTCGCATCTCAGCTGACGAGCCTCATCCGGCAACCTCGATCCTCCATGGCCCAGTTGGCTAAGGCGTCCGACTGTTAATCGGGAGATCCCTGGTTCGAGCCCAGGTGGAGGAGTTCAAACACTGTTGCGAGTGCTTGCTTTTGCTTTTGCGCTTTCCCGGGGCGTTGCAGCGGCCTGGGTCGGCGACGATGTGAGGTGGTGAGGGGGTGAGTCAAGGGACGGTGGATGTTTTGCGGGGAATAAGTATTTCTTGAACGGTGATAGAGAATGTGAGATACTATGCTAGGTGGGTATCGAGCAAACTAATCATACAACAAAGAACATAAGGAGGACTGGCAGGGAAGCTCCCATACACTCCTTCGCAGAGCCGACCGGTCCTATCAGCGACGACTCGCTGAACTCCATTCCCTATTCCATTGCTCCATCTGTCCGGCTACACGATTGGGCCTGGTTGACGACTGGCCCGTGACCCAGAATCTCTCCATCGGGTCGGATGAGCATGAGTAGCTTGTGGTAGTATATGGTGCTTGGTTGGCAGATGTATCGCGTCTCTGCCCGCCGGTGTTTGCAGACGTGGAATATTGAGAGTAGCTGGCAGGCATTAGGATCGGTCTTACAAGGTGCAAGGGGGAGGGGGGGAGAGATTAGCCGTCGTACCTCGGAGCGGGACGCTGATAGTAGCTAGATCCTGACATATTGCGTTGTGGAGGGGCGGGTATGATGAGAGTGGTGACAAATGTGCAAGATAGGTAGATGTTGGTTGTTAGGATCGTGAAGATGATGTTGGTTTGGCCTGGCCTTGAGAACCACACGGCAACCCAACAGATGGCCTTATTATATATATGAAAGGATGTAAGTGAGAGGTCGTTCAGCTTGCACTTGGGAATAGGCAGCTGTACCGCCCGCTGCAAGTACAAACCACGAGAAAGTGGACAAAACACATCATAGTAAATCCTTTTCGAAACAATGCAAGTTGGCATTGTGAAGAAACTAGACCCAGGGGCACCGAGTATCATGGTGGAATTAGGATTGAAAGGGAATGGTTAGGAATTACAATCGGAAATAATGGAGCGGCCATACACTAGAGCATGGCTGTGATGCTATGGAGAATACTGAATATGAGCGACAGGGAAGTGGCCTAGCTCCGCAGTCACTTGACGGTAGAGACTGTCATGGGAACGTTGGATTAGGAACGTAAACATTGAAGCATTGGCTGGTAATGAGCGACGACCTCCCTTCCCGACCTAAAGAATGACTAGACTGCCGGCAATAATGCTTGACAGCAATGTTGAAGGGTAGAAATCGGGATAGCGAAAATGCATCTGGAAAAAGACGGAAGATTGGGGACAAGGGGAGGGTTGATCCTGGTTGGTACTGGCCAGAACAGTCGCGCATGGAGGGAGCTTGGGTAACTTTTTCGAAGCTTCCATTGCATCGCCAAGTAGTTTTGCCACTCGCGTGGATCTGGGATAGTTTCCGGGAGATAGACGTGCAGGGATGAGACATCAGACAGACGCCCGCTTCTTTCAGAGGAAGGGCAGGTTGTCATTACTTAGTGTGGTAGATATGCAGGCGGGCTGACTGGAGAGGGCAGATGTTGGCGGGTGGGACCAGGGTTAGTTGCATGGCTGTCAACTCGGAAACGAAAGACTTTGATGGGGGAAGTGTACGAATAGAGCAACTACTGGCGGCCGGGATTGGGTGTGTGGGAGATCTAGACTAAGACACGGGCCAGAGGCCCAGCGCGGGATGGATGCGAGTAAAGAGTGTCCGCGCTATGTTCTCGTGTTCGTAGAACATTCGGGGAAGAATGAGGAGGCATGGGGGCACCCAGGCTGGTCTGGGCTGGAAGAGCTTTACGTGGGTAGGTATCGCAAGAGCCTGGTCAAGGGCCAGAGTTGAACGGAGAGGCGCGGTGAGCGGGATCTAAGCTTCACTTGACCTTGACGAATAGCTTGGCAAGCGTGGATGGTGATTTGCAGGAGGACCGCCAGGCGATCGCCGCCATCAAAACCCAAACTTCTTCGCCTCGCCGTTTGGGGGCGGGGCATATTGACACTGTGGGAAATGAGATCTAAGCAATGCCATGCGTGCTGGAGATGAAAGTCAGTGACGTAGAAAGAGAGGATAAGTAGAACATACGAGACAGAGAGGGGGGAGGCATCCAGAGCTATCAATGGCGCAGACTTACAATATTCAACTTGGCTCCGTGGCTCAGTTGCAATTCGTGTCAAGATCAAGATCACTCGAAACAGGTCACACCGCAGAGAAGAGTTTTGGGCTCGTCGAGGCCGCCGATGAGTTGTCCATCTGCAGCGAGTGTTGGTGCTGAGTTACATTACACATTACAATAGGCGTTCAATCTGATGCACCACCACCACACCCGCACCCACACCCACCTCATTGACACCAAGCAAGGTATGGATGTGGCTGGGCTCGCGGGCGGTGCTTCACGGAAGGATGGAGCACAACCGAGAGGCGTAGCACATTGAGAAGCATTTGGGCCGAGAATTGGCTACATACCCTTACGGAGTACGGATAGCCAAGCGGTGAATGAAGCATTGCTGTGTTGTCACAGCTCATGGCAAATTGCTCTGTGTTTTATGTAGAAGAGAATTACAACTACTCTCATTATTGTCTTTCCAATGCTTCACAAGCCATAGGCTTGAGCGAGGTGCTTAGTGTTCCAGAGACCGCAATTTGATCGCAGTTAGGTGCAATAAGGGTAATGCAAACACTATTGCCGACCTCTTGAGGCCGCGTAGAGAAAGGCTTGCGACCAATTGTCGATTCAATTACTGGCCGCTCATTTACAAGCAAGCTGGGTTGAAGCTCAAGTAGGGGATCTCCCTGTCTCACAACATTAATTCACCCCAGTCGGAAAACAGATTCGATCAAACTACGGTCCGTATCCGTAGGAGCCCAGAGAAGTGTCTGGGTAATAGCAGTCGCATCTCATTCTTCGCACGTCATTTTCCTGAGCTGCTGGCCTGCGGCAGCGCGAGGGCTACACCAACTTGGCTCAGCCACACATCCAGTCCCTCCCCCTCGACTCTGCCTGACAGGGCATTTTCTCATCCCCCCACTCAGTCACTCACTCATTCGCTCACATACTCGGTCGCTCACAATGTTTGCTGCTGCGGTTCACGGTAGCAACTCGAATCCACTGCGGCCCGTCCGAGTCCCTCTTCCCTACCGATACGCCATCCGTCATCGTGCGGTCCGGTCACCTAGTTTGGGGTGAAGCCATCTCCATCCCATTGCGCGCGATTCTTCTCCCCCCGATGAACAAGAGAGAAGATAGTCGCGGATAGCGGCTTCTGGCGCTATCGTAACCGCTGACACCGAGAATGGATGACGGGGGATCGTTGCCAGTGGGCGCTTACTGTTACTGGGATTCGCTCCCAAAGTGCTTCTAGCCGAGCAACTCAAAGCCCCAGTAATTCCGTTGCCTAAATCCAACACTTTATTGAGGGAACTTTCTGCGAGCTGGTTGAAGCTGTCTCACAAACCACCCTTTGCCCGTCAAGAACTGGCACAAAAGATCAACTTCCTTACTATCCGGAAAGGACATGGATATTGAGAATCCTCCTCATCCGTCACAACAAACTCGACCTCATGCTGCCCAGTCTCATGAAGCCCGGATGCCCCTCCCCGTGGCCCCCTAGGCTCACAGCTGAGCCTCTGTCCCCTGCAACCCAGCCGACTGGCGCACCACCATCATTCTTCTACTTCATAGCCATTGGCTCCGCCAGACCACCTTCGAGACCTCCTCCAGGCTGCCAGTTTGCTGTGCTACCAAACCCCGGCTGTTGAGGGCCCAGTCTTATCACGTTCCCACGCTTAGATCGTTCGCGTTAGCTGCTTGCTGACCCTTGCTCCGTGCCGGCTCCCGTCTATTCTCTGGGGCCGCCCATTCCCCTCCCTCCCTCCCTCTCGCATCAGCGCGGCGGCGCCATGGCGAAAGGCACCATCTTTCAGCCCATTGATAGCCTGGTCGTCCCCCTCACTTCATGGCCAAAAGTACAACTCCATCCTCCCCGTTGTCCATCATGTCTCTCGCTTCAACCTGAGTCTTTTGCCTCAATTTCTCGTCAGACACTTGGTCTATAGCTGAACTCACCATCAATAGGGTCAAATTTCCTTCCCCGCCTCACTTACACGCTCTACGACGCTCTTCTTGACAAGGCTGTGGCAGCCAGCCTCCGACTCGAGCTCCATGTCAGCTTCACCTTCAAGTTCGCACGCGACCCAGACCGGTCGCCCTTCACTTTGGAATGATTCGGCCGAGCGCAGATTAGCTAGGCTCTATCTCTACACAATCTTACCTCTCACCAAAATTGTCGAAGTCGTTCACAAGGCGACTCCGGGAAACCGAGATTGCCCAGGGTAAGCTTAGAGATTGGTTTGCGCCGGCGCAAATGCGATTGCTAATACCACCACTTGCTTACTAGAAAGGATTCAGCCAACAAGAAACTGAACTCAATTCTCGACAAAGAGCCGCGATGGCTTCACCCACGAACCCGGACGGACATGGACCGGCGCATAAGCGCCCTCGATAACTCCCCAACTCGCCAGAACACGCCCGAGAACGCATTTTCGCCAAACTACTCTCGCTCAATTTCTTCCGGCGCCCGATCGCATCTGAGCGTACACCCCGATTTCAAATACGAAGGTGGCAACAGCCCAACAGTCAACGATTTTCAACCCTTTCACCACTCGCGCTCATCTTCCGCTGGATGGGGTCCGCCGGCCCCCGGGCCGCTTCCGACATTGGTGACCACCGATATTGCGTCCGTGCCGCCGCCCGAAGCCGGAATCCACCGGCAGACAACGACACAAACCCTGCAGGATGTACTTTCACAGTATTCAACTGGATTCCGTCACCAAGTCAGCAGGCTGTTGAAGCGCTACACGATGCCGAGCAACACGATGATGAACCAATCACCAACGGACAACGACCGACCTGGCACTGCCAACTCTAACCCAGCATCGTGGATATTCGAGTATAATGCGCCACAGAGAAACTCTGAATCACAAGCTGCACCCTTGCCCGGCGACTATCTCAATCTACCGTACCACCTCCTCAAACAAGGCTTTTGCTCTGAAGGGCTTGCGGAACATGATTCGCGATCTTGCTTCTGCCACGTACGAGACGAACTCCCGAATGACTCTTGGGTCATCGGCTCAGGTCCAACTCCGTTTGCCCAACACATCCTGCAGTGTGGAGAGCCTCCGAATCAGGATTGGAACACTCGAGACCCCTTCGGCCACAGTATCCTGCATCTTCTTGCAGCCGGGAACGCTCACCACGCCCTCCTATTCAAGGCAATCGAGTCGTCCCCCAATCCCTCAGTCAAGAATAGCGCCGGCCAGACATTCCTACATCTGCTCAACGACAGCTGGTTTACACAACACGCCGATTCTCTCTTCCAACTTATTACTCGTCTGAAGCGATCCGATTTCGACCTGTATGCTCGCGATGTCTACGGGCGCAACTTTTGTCACATCATCCACGCAAAAAAGCCGAGCGTTTTGAGCCAGGAGATTAAAAACGCCCTTTTGAACCAGTTTAACCCCATGGCGTATTGCTGCCGCGACGCATTTGGCAACATTCCCGAATCTGCCCCCATCGCACTGCCAATCCGGAGAGCCTATACTGCCGCTGTCGGGCAAGAGATGTCCTCAACCTGGGATTCACATACGTTGCGCAGGGGCCCATCCCCCATTGAGGAACAAGCACAACTTCTGAAGCTTGTCAACGAAGCACACACCAACACCCGAGTACAAGATACACAAGGACGTAACGGTCTGCACTGTCTTGCTGATGCTATTCTGAGTCAGGAGTCATTATTCGCCAGGTTCCCCCAGCATCTTGTGCAGGCAGCTCCCGCAGAGCATTCCGGCGGCAGCAGCCGCAAGCGCAAACATAACAAACCTAGCAAAACACTTACAGACTCCTCAAAGGAGAGACTCACTGCCAGGGAAAAGGTCGTGAGAGACCTCATTGACCTCGGCGTTGACGCAAACCACTACGACAAGTACGGCAACACCGTGCTGATGGCTTTCGTGGCCCAGCTGCCCGAAGACGACGACTACAAGAAGCCCGTCAACATCTTAGAGGCTCTCATCGATGCGGGTGCCGACGTCAATGCCCGCAACATGAACGGCGAGACCGCGCTACATGTCGCAGTCCGCAGAGGCAAGAAGCTTGCCATGCGTACACTTCAACAACACAACGCAAACGTACAAGCCCGGGACGTAGAAGGCCGAAGCGTGCTTGATGTCGCCGACCGAATGGTGACGTCGTATAAGCAGAACCCTCACTTCTCACACTACGAGGCTTGCCATGCTTGGCTTTCGGGGCAAGCCAAGGCAGTTCAATACCCAACAATACACCAAGAATGGGAATTGCGAGACTCTTGAGAGTTTCGGGGAGAGGGTGAATGGTTGGTGAGTGGAAAGATGGGGATACACAAAAGTTTGATGGGTGCTGCTCCGAAGTTTTCTCCTGTTTGCGTAGAAGTTTGTGGTGTCTGGCGTTGCTGTTGCCTTGAATGATAGAGAAACGAGTAAGGGGCGATACATGGGAGTGTAAGATGGTAACGACAGAACATCATTAGATACCCGAGTCCATAGTTGTATTGAGCGTCAAGGCTCACTTGAATCCATCACATTTCACAACCGAACAACGCCTAGTCCGTGTGAAATTATAAAAGTGTTTGTAAACGTCTTCTTCATTGGTAAGAAGTAAAGTTATGTTCATGGCTGAAGCCAAGGAATACATATGTACGGGAAGAATAGATACAGGAAATCGCCTGAAGTTATGGCCGCAATTCAATAGACTCTGCTTGGTGGGGCTCATGCGAGCAATCTCTCGCCAGTCTCGAGGGAAAGCTATGCTCATGCAAGCGTCTAGGAATTGGTGCTCGTGGTCTTGCCAACACCAGCGTTGGCCTTGACCTTGGCGGGAACGTCGGCAACGCCAATGTGGCCGATGAGCGAAGACTTGAAGCCACCCAGCTTGGTGAGGGCAGTCGTGCTGGTAAGGCTACTGACAACACCAGAGTCGCGAGCACGGTTCCACTCGCAGATGTAACCTAAGTAAGAGGTGCAGCGAGAGGCTTCGTCGACAGTGTTCACGATGTAGATGTTGCCTCCGTTGGTCAAGCTGGCAGGAGTGATGGGAGTGGTGACGGCATCAAAGTAGTTGCCCTCAAGAAGGACCCAGGTGTTGCCGTCAATGTCAAAGGCGTGACCGCCGACGTTTTGGAAGTAGTTGTTGACGCCGTGGAACAGGTTCTCGCTGCCGGCGGTGTTCGTCGTTCCCATGTGAGGGGAGCGGCCAGAGACGTCATGCAGCCAGTTACCAGAAAAGGTGTAGTAGTCCTTGGCGCCGATGAGGAGGGCGGTCCAGTAGTGCTTGCCGTTGCAGCCGGCAGACCACTCCGTCTTGCCGTCGAACTCGGTGTTGGAGATAGTTACCTTGCCGGCGGCTCCCCAACCAGAGACGATGAACTGGCGACCGATGAGGGAGATCTTGACGTGGTCGATCCATACCTTATCGGCACCATCAAGAGTGATGGCATCGCCTCCCCAGACATACTGAGGGTTGAGATTCTACAGCCAGTTAGCTACACCAGAAATCAACATCGCGGCGAAATATAAACATACTGTAATGTGGACGTTTTGGATGATCTGTAGGTTCCTCGATTAGTATCTTCCCTCTTAAAATAAGGTGATGCTGGTAACAGAACAAGGAAGACTTACGACATTGCTCTTCCCACCACGGACACGGAATCCCTTACCAATAATGACACCCTTGGTTCCAACGCCAACAAGACTCTTGTTGCTGTTGATATCAATGGGGGTTTTCGCAGCGTTGTCGTACGTGCAGTCAACCCAGGTGCCACTAGCAGCATCGCAGGTATCCTGGATCCAGGCCTGGCCCTTGGAAGTGCCACCGGGACACTTGGTCGTGCGGTTATCACTACAGCACTTGCCACTGGTCGTGCCCTCAGTGTTGCGAAAGTCCCAAGTGCGATCAATCATGATGGTTCGGGCTGTGCTGTCGGTAAGCCACTCCTTAAGTCTACCGAGTTTTAGTCTCTGGACCCTGTAATTCCTCGTCTATGGTGAAGATCAACTCACTGAGAAATGCTAGAAGGAATCTGGGGAGCAGCTGAGCCACCACCAGTGGTGCCAGCTGCGAAGCCAAAGGCTTTGCCCTGCACCTGTGCAGTGGCCGTGCTCGCAAGAGCGGCGACGAGAGAGAGAAGACAGGCCTTCATCGTGCAAGGCTAAGAGAGGAAGCGAGTGTAGTTGAAGTAAGAAGTGTAGTACGAAAGAATATGAAGGTCGAGGAGGAGCTCGGTTCGAACCAAGGCTCTGGTATCGGGGATCGTACAAGGTTAAGAACAAGTCTAAACTCCTAGCCGTATGATCCTACAACAAGGCCAAGACGCAGTGACAGCGGGGCGACACGAGGAGGCCTCGACTTATTCTCATACTAATAACATCCCCATATTGCATGTCTCTCGCTCGGCTGCAACGGTTTGCACCAAACGGCGCTATAGGGCTGGGCCGGCACCTCAGAGGCGGCGAAGTTTCCATAAATCCATTTCCACTTAACGGCAAAGGGAATAGAACACGTAAACATTCTCCATACGTACACAATCGCCGCTGTCATTCTGACCGATGTAGCAGTCCCTAAATCTCAGAATTCTCCGTGTGATGGGAAAATCCTCGTCCTGACCATACCGACGCGGAGGTGGCTGCTGCTCCGCGCCGAGAAAGTCACCACTTGGCAAGTTCGTGGTCATTCGGGCCCGGCAGACATTTCCTGATACGGGAGCTGATAGCTGGGGCGCGTGCTGGAAGGGGAATTGTCGAGTGGAACAGGTCTGGCAATGTCATCAAGATGCTACAATGACAGGGGTCCTCCCCTCCGCTTTTCAACCAAATTCCGGAAGTGACAAGGGTTTAGGTAGATGAAAGGGCCACGACCAGGAGGTTAGTGAAAGTCGCCGATGCAAGTGGGTGGACGAACAAGTCTAAAACTCGGACTCTTCCTCCCGTCCCATACCGTGTTAGGCAAACATATCGCCCTAAGACACGTTCTGCGAATGAAAGTCAAGACTGGTGGACCTTTCCACCGACTTGTCGGAATTTCGTACGAGGGTCTCGTAGACTGGAGATCTGGTGGACCGCATTGGCTCGCTCTCGGATTACCTCCAGCACAGCATCCCGCGATGTAAGGTCGTGGTATGGAATCCCAGTTTGCGAAAAGCTGGTGTGAGTTGCCTGCATCATTCACTTGAAATGTGGAATCATTAACTGCGGAAAGCAAGGATAATTATCCGTATTCACAGTCAAGGGTGACTCGGTCTACTACTAAATAAGGCAGGCTACTCCGTCGAACGTAACCGTTGACATGAAGCAATCTTCGCTCAGACGCGGCTTCGCGCGGTATTGCCATCGCTTTCCCTCCCAATATATTCATAAACTCCTCGTTCACGAGAAGGATTTTCTAGGCTCTGTGACGCTTGAATCTAAACCTGCGTTGCTTGGCCGCACATGGAAGACGCAACGATACTGCGGCATCAATGAGAAGAGGAAGAGAGCACTGGAAACTGCCAAACTGAAAGCTGTGTTCAACTTTACGAATGGTCATCTAAGCCGAGGTTGATGAGATATACACGCAGTCCACCCCGAGAGTACTACCTCAAGGCCCCTGGAATGATAGGGTGAAAGGCCTACAGGATACCTGTTCTCATACCGACAATGGACGTTAGTAAGCATAGAGCTTCACGTTCTCATCCTCACTCTCCCTGAGCTTCTTGTTGATGCTCATCAACCAGAACCTCATCGCCCACGCACATATGATACTTGCAACGGCAAAACCAATCATGCATGAGAAGCCGATCATGTATCTGGGTCCATCCGAGGTGGGCCAAAGGTAGGCACAGTAGATATAAGCCAAGTTGGCCGTGACGTTGACCAAGGAGTATGCAACGGCTTTCTTCTCTGGCGACTGTGACAAGGTATCGCTTACCCATCCTAAGATAGGAGATCCTACGGAGTAAGCACCAGTCGCGTACAAGAAAGTTGCTGCATATCTGACGGCATTATTGGTGGTCCCAATCGTCATGGCGAATCCGACCACAGCAAGAGATAGTCCAGCTGTGATGTGCCAGGTTCTTTCGTTGAATCGCCCGCTTGACCAGGCAAATGGAATGCCAAGAAAGCCGGAAACGAAGTAGGGGGGAGCGGTTAGGAGAAGAGCCGTAGTCGACTTGAAGCCCCTAACCAAGAATTAGCGTTTTGTCACCTTCAAGTACTCGTTACTTTTCGGGTAGGGGTCCGTTATTTGGTAACTTACATGGTACGAACAAGGGTCGGAAAGTACGCGTTGAAGCTGACCGCAGAAATATGGAAATTCTGACAGGCGCAGAACAACCAAGTTTTGGGGTCTTTCAGAGCCTGCTTGAGACCATCCATGGTAGAGCCACGCTCTTGTCTGCCGACTGTATCCCGACGAATGCGTTCAACAGCAAGTTGTCTCTCATCCTCAGTAAGCCATCGGGTAACAGAAGGATCGTCAGGAAGAAGGAAGAACCCGAAGACGGCAATAAATGCGGTGACCGAGCCTTCAATGATGAAGAGCCTAACCCTGTTAGATCATGGTCCATGACAGATGAGTCGGAATATGCAGCTCTTACCATTTCCAGCCGGCAATCCCCTTGACCTGATCTAGGGTAGTGAAAGTCGCAGCAGCAATCAGACCTGAGCAGCCAGTACTGACTATTTGACCAGTATAAAGTATGGAGATTCTCGTTGCGAGCTCTTTCCTGGTGTAGAAAATTGATAGCAGATACAGGGCACCTGGATAGAAGGGCTAGAAAGGCGAACCCAGGTTAGCCTGCGCTCCACCTTTGACTTGCTTTGTGCGACTCACTGCTTCCACAAATCCAAGGAAGAACCGGCATGCCACCAATCCACTGTGGTTCTTGACTCCCGCTGTGGCAGCAGAGATGGCAGCCCAGCCAATCATACAAGTTGACATATAGATTGATGGGCTCGTGCGAGTAAGGAACATATTCGAGGGTACTAGACGTGGTCAGACTCAGCGCATCTCGAGATTCTCCAAAATATTGACTGACCTTGCATCAGAAGGTACCCAACGAAAAGAATAGAGATGGCAGTGTTGTATTCGACTCCTTTCAGTCCCAAGTCCTCCTCCAGCGTGTTCAGTCGAGCTTGCGGAAGAGCATTACGATCGAGCTAAGTTCGAGGTTAGGTCCGACTTTCGAGTGGGGACATGCAACTGAGGTAGGTTTCAACGCACGTAATTCATGAAATACATTGCCCAAAGAATCGGCTACGAGAAGATACTACATTAGCATCATGCTCACGAAAGGGGCCAGTCAAGATCCCAGGAGCTTACCATGATCCTGCGATCTAGCTTCCGAACGAGGGCAATTTCAGCCGGGTCAGTCTTCTCATGGGCGCCGGAGTAATCGCCACAAACAACGGCCTCGCCCTTGACCGACTTTTCATCATGTTCAATCTCGAGAGGACCGCCTTTCTTGGAGTCGGCATCGTGTGTAGCTGCCATATTCGGCAGAGGCGAGAGACGAAGTCAGAAGGCAATCTTAGAGAGAGAGAAAGAGAGAATGAGGTCGTAGACAAGAGATCCTATGCTCCTTCGGTCTTTGTGTCGATGAGAAAACATACAAGACATCGTCTGATTTATACATAACAGCAATCTATCATCTGGCCATCCCCGGCTTTGCGGGGCTGGCTCGACTCAACCCCAGAAAATACACGTTCCCCGCAAGCGCTAATCCCATGTTTAACTCATGACCCGAAGTTCAGGATACGGAGAAAAGGGCCAAGACCCGGCGAACCGGCGCATGGTCTGTGCTATTCCGATATGCCGTTACGCCGTTACGCCGCTCAACACGGCCTTACTCCGTTCTTATCCCGCGATTTGGTCTCCCGCTACTGCATTATCCCGTGCCCCACCGCGGGGTCCTCGGTGTAACACCGGACGTTGGCCGGAAGGATGTCCATCCAGATCAAGGAATAAAACAGACCGAGGAGAACGCGACGACGCATTTGGAAAGCTTGTCTTGGGACGAATCTTGCTTTTTACTCTTTCTCGTCTGAACTGCTGCTTCTACGCGCATTCCATTCGCCATGTCTGCCGCCACAGTCTTCGATTCGACGCTCTTTGGCAACATTTTCGGCACCGAGGAGGCTCGCCAAGCCTTCTCTGAAAGATCTTATGTTGCCAATCTCATCAAGGCCGAGTGCGCTCTGGCCGAGGCGGAAGAAGCTGAAGGCATTGTGCCGGGTGGCACTGCTGCCGTATTGAGGGAGCATTGCAATGTCTCCAAAATCGACTGGCAGCTTCTTGCAGCCCGCACAGAGATCGTGGGATACCCGGTACTGCCTTTGGTAGAACAGATGTCGAAATGGGTTCCCGAAGAGACTTGTAAGTCTTGACTGCCAATTCGACACATGGTATTTCAACTTGCTAAAGCTCGAACCTCAAGCTGGTTACATTCACTGGGGTGCCACAACGCAGGACATCATGGACCTAGCGTCGGTACTCCAAATGAAAACTGGTCTTGAAATCGTCGAGCGCCTTCTGCGCAAAGTCACCTCCACCTTAGAGACAATGTCCGCCGCCTACAGAGACGTACCCATGGCCGGCAGAACGCATCTGCAACATGCCCTCCCAATCACTTTCGGATACAAATGCGCAGTTTGGCTGGCTGGCTTCCGTAGACACGTGAAGCGTTTGGAACAGATCAAGGAAAGCTGTTTGCTGGTTCAATTTGGCGGTGCTGCTGGTACCCTTGCTTCTCTAGGCACAAGCGACAGTGGCATTCGCGTGCGCAAGCGACTCGCAACTATTCTTGGGTTGCAAGACCCCATCATCACTTGGCATGTGGCGCGCGATACTGTCGCTGAGATCATCAACTACCTTGCCCTGGTGGGCGGTAGTCTGGGCAAGATTGCCCTCGACTTGATCATCATGTCATCAAACGAGCTGAATGAGGTGATTCTACACCTACTAGTTGAGCTCTTGGAACAGATTCATAATACTGACGCGCACTTCACAGGTTGCCGAGCCTTACGTTCCTCATCGTGGCGCCTCCTCGACCATGCCTCAAAAGCGCAACCCCATTTCCAGCGAGGTGATACTCGCGCAATCGAAGATTGTGCGCTCACAAGCCGGCCTTGTCCTCGACGGTATGGTCTCTGACTTCGAACGAGCGTCCGGACCATGGCATCTGGAGTGGGCTGCTATACCGACAGCCTTTATTTCGATTGTTGGGTCTCTCTACCAAGCTGAATTTGCCCTGTCAGGGTTGCAGGTCAACAAAGATGCCATGATGGCTAATCTCAAGTCAACAAGGGGCTTGATCGTAGCAGAGGCTGTCATGATGGACCTAGCAAAGTACACCGGCCGCCAGGAAGCGCACGAGATTGTTTACAAGGCGTGCGTCAAGGCACACGAGAACAGCATGTCACTGCAAGAAGCGTTGGAAGAGTCATCACAGGTGACGTCTCACCTTGCTTCGCCAGACCTCGCAAAATTGTGCGATCCTACAAGGTATCTAGGGTGCTGTCAATTGATGCTGGATGAGCTGTTGGGACAAAGAGGGGCCCATGATAATGGAAACGGGATGGACTTGAACGGCAACAATGGGATTGCGGATACTAATGGAATCACCAACGGCAGCCATTAAGCAGATTAGAGAGACAGATGAAACATTTGATTTATATGTCTTGTTGAGGCCTCGAGAGTCAGGTTGAAACGTCTCTTACTCTGCATTGCATTCCCAAAAAGCCTTCAGCTTCTCTTCTTGCCTCAATAATGACCAGCCCATGTGCGCTTCTGACTTTGCGAGAATTTCGAGCAATTTCTCTTGTTCCGCAGGCTCGTGGAACAAATGACCGCCTATGTAGATGGCAAATTGTCAGCAACCAGGTATTGCACTGCATTAATGTGAGAGCCGAACTTACACATAGCAACCGTCATTCCCGCGGCTATGGTTGCTGGCTGCCACTCGCCTGCCGAGTGTGCAATACCACAAATTTGGCGGGTCAAGCGCCGAATCTCTTCTTCAACAGCTTTCGAAGCCATAGCCTTGTCGAGACCAAGTACAGGCATACGAGGGTCGTGAGTCAGCAACATTATCTGGCAGATAATGGCATGCTGATGACCAGCAACTAGACAAGGAAAGGTAAGTGATCACTACTTTATCTTAAGCGCATATACTCATGCTAGCCACGAGAGCAATGAGAAGTACTGGGACTCACTATGAAAATCATTGGCAAAAATGATCTCAGGAAATGCCTCGCGATCAGAGCCCGTTTGCCACAGAGGATTGAAAGATGCCGGCCTCTTCTCCATCCACTGATGTAGATAGGCACGCAGATTCTCCCAAGACCCGATGGACCGCGCGTCTGGGCCGTATGCAAATATCAAAACGTCCTCAGTGAAAGTGATGATGCGCCACGCCCAATCGAAGTCGGACGTGGGCTCAAGAGTTCTGGTGATGCCGCATCTCTCTGCAAGACGGGGAGGAGGGGTACGTGCTACAAAAGAAATAAAGATTTCCTGACGGATAGCAACTAGCAGACACGCACGACATAGGCTATAGTTTGGGTCATCCGGAGACCCCGGTAGAGTGAAAATATTGGTGTCTAAAATGTGCCCATACGGCCGGTCATCGACAGACGGGACTGGCTCGATTCGGTCAACAATCGAGATCATGTGAAGGCGAATAAGTAGAACGCACCTGTCATTTCCTCATAGAGTCGCAGGATCATAGTGATGGCGCATAGGACTCCAGTCGTAAAGCCTCGTGCTGACCCTGGGTGTGCCAGAGCCGGGATATATGACTGTAGGCATCTTGCTTGATAGTCGTCGGCTTCTCCAGGAACCCATTTCTCGGGCTGTGTCTGACTCAAATGCTTGCATGAGATTGCCAAAAGGGCGTTGAGAAGGACAAAGTGGGTCGAAGCCGTTTGCACGATGATCGTTCTAAAGTGACGATCTTTATCGCAATAGTCAAACTAGACGAGGATCAGTCTATCAGATCAAAAGCGTTGCGCTCTTACCAAAGGTCAATTGACATTATGTACCCAAAAAGAAAGATGATTAATAAAATGCTGAAGCAGGAAGACTTCTCGCTTGTCTCTCAAAGGCCATAGAGGATTGTATGGAGACTCTTCAACATCGCAAGGGTAAAGTGACTCAGAAGTATCTCGCTCAGGTGGTTCTGGTATTTGGATTGCTTCTCCCACCTGGAGTGGCTCAGCGAATGTAGCGATCAACAGATTGGCAACACTTGGGATGTTTGGGGGCTTTTCAACAGCACTTGTTTCTTGCGGCGATTCTTCTCGTTCCAGAGCGGTGCTGTCCGCTGAGAATACGACTGCACGAGTTTTAGTTACCTGAAGAAACTGTACGTTGTCCAGAAGACAGTATCGTGATAGGTGATAATCTCACGGGTAGACGGCGTTGATAGCCAGACTTGATGAGCTGGGAAAGGAACAGCTCGGCTATCCTCTGGTGACTCCTGAAAGCCATCTATAGACGGGTTGTGATGATGGCGAAATGTTATCCGGGTAGTTGCTTTGTAAGTACACGATTTAGCAGCCTTTGCGCAAGGGGAGCATGTCGGACTTGGTGTTGTTGTTGTTGTTGTTGTTGTATTTAACGCCGTGGCGGCCGGGCTAGAGCCCTTACCGCAGACCTCCCGAAGGGTATATGGCGTGGAGGGCCGTGAGCCAAGGCTACCTACTCTACAGTACGTCGTCTCTTTACATCGTCCTCCAAATCATGCCTTGTGGCCACTACGCGTTCTGTCTGTCCCCGGTTCCCGCTGGTGCCCCAGTTTCATTCTTTCCCAAATCGTCCCTTGGAATCGGGAGGTTCTTTGTAGTCCGCACTCACATCTACCTAGGTGTGGATGCTGCTACCGCAGACAGATCTTCTGGAAGAAGTCCGTCACGCGGAGAAAGGCCTCGAAGCCTCGTGGGTCGGTGATTAATCTCTTGAAGTAGGCCTCGAGAGATCCCATAGGACCTATGGGCTCGGGCATACTGCGAGAGTGGAGGGTCGGCCACCGTTGCCTCCTCGCCAGCGTTAGTCGACAGTAGACCAGGTGGTCCACGTCTTTCGCCTCTCCACAAGAGCACATCATTAGAGCGTCGTCGTGGTTGAAACGTCGGTGATATTGCTCGAAGTCCCCGTGACCCGATCGTGCCGCCAGCAGGTGATGTAACGTAGCCCGCGGCAAGGCCAGTTCAGGAGGGCTGGACAGAGCTGCCTCAAGCCCCAAGTCCGCGTACCGCGGCCTTCGCTCTTTATACCACCATCTCCTGTGCTGGCTTTGTAATTTTTCCCTTGCAAGCCGCTTGATGCCCGCTAGTGTTGCCATTTGACCCATCCGCGCCGGCAGTGTCGTTCCTTCTTTGGCCAGCCGGTCCGCGGCCTCGTTTCCTTCGATGCCCTGGTGTCCCGGGGACCAGTGCGTCCGTATATCAAATATCCTGGCCGCTTCTTGGATTTCGAGGAACGCGTCTTGTGACGAGTCCGGCGCCTTGCCGCGGATGCCTTGTATAACGCTGGTGTTGTCGATACATATGTGGATTGGATGACCGCGATTGGTGAGCAGAGCCCTTCTGAGGCCGGTTCGCGCCCCTTCGACCTCGGCGTCGAACACTTCTGCTAGTCCGAGTCGGCCGCACCCTTGCGCTATGCGTTTGGAGTCTCGGTAGATGACGAAGCCGTACCCCACGGCTCCGTTCGTCGCCCTGGAGCCGTCCGAGAAGACGATCATATGGCTTTCCGGTACTGTCTTTAGCCAGCGCTCGAAAGCTTTCGCAGCCTCTTCTTTGCATTGAACTACTATCTGATCCTGTGAGCTTGGCAGGTACTGTGATTGGAGGAACGTTGGTCTTCCGCATCTTGGCAGAAGTTCAGCCGTCCGTTGTAGTCTCGTCTGTTGCTGTCCCTGCTGGGAGAGCCGCGCGACTAGCGGGTGTCGGCGATCAATCCTCTGTAGTCGGACTGCGGCCCGTAAACGGACGCCTTCTAAGGCGACTTTGGCTGACGGTAAGCCGGCGTCTCGGAGGAGGCTACTGGTTGGCGTTGTCCTCCAGACAGGTAGAACGATCCTTGCTGCCGCTGTAATGACGCTGTCGATCTTCTGCACGAGCCCCTTCTGGCCTGTGTTGACGGGTCTTCCTTGGAAAGGCGGACTCGTGTCTGTCTCCGCTTGGCGTCTCGAAGCCGGCTTCGTGATACCTGCGTACCATGTTTCGGCGCCGAAGAGCGCGATCGGCAGTACGTAGGAGACGACGGCTTTTCGCACGGCGGCCGCTGGCAGTCCTCTCTTTGTGTTTGTAAGCTGCCTCAGGTGTTGAGCTGCCTTCTTTGCCGCAGCTACTCTTGTGTCGACGTGGTGCCGGAAGGACAGTCTCTTGTCGAACCAGACACCCAGCCAGCGTACAGGATTTGTCGAGGCCTTGACCACCAAATCCCCCGCCCTGACCTCTGGCAGCTCCGCTGGCTGGCTGTGCTTCCTAGTAAAGTGGATGACCTCGCACTTGCTCGGGTCGAAGGAGACCTTGTTCTCCGAGCCCCATCTGAGAATGCCGGCTGCGCTTCGGTTGAGTATTGCGACGTTGCTCTCCAGGGAGGGGCTGATGGCCAGAGTGGCGATGTCGTCCGCGTACCCGAATCGCGCGTCCGGGTCGTCTTCAAGGATCTCCGCGATGTAGAGCAGAAAGACGATGGGAGATAGTGGCGACCCCTGAGGCAGCCCGCATGACAGAGGAAAGTATTCCGTCGTGCTTTCTTCCAGTCGGACTCTGGCGATGCGGTTGCAGCAGAAGCTGAAGATGAGTCTAA